TATTCTATCTTGAGTTAGTTTCCTCCAGTTTAAGAACAACAGGAAGCAATAGGAAGCATCATAAATCTCTGCTCAGACTGTCCTGAGAGTTTGCTAGACTTTTTTTTACCCCAAGAAGAATTGCTTAAAAACAAAGTCCCATGTCCAATTAGGACAACCCAAGTGAGAGAAAATTCCACTAAGCCTTCAATTTATAACACTGTTGAGAATAGCACAGTTGACTGTTCTGGAAATTATTAGCTTTAATTCCTATGTGAAAAAAAAAACTTACGTATAGCAATGTCTTCTATAGTCAGATACATGTCCAATTTTTTAAACAACAGGAGCTAAACCAAAGATAGGGATCACAAAGGGTATGTTCAAGGAAGAATGCCCAAGATGGAAATCAAATGATTCAATTATTTTGGTAAGAAAAAGGTTAACAGAAACGGGAAGAAAAACAAGCGAAATTTACAAGTGGGAGAAGACATTAAAATTCCATCAATAAAGCAAGGCTATGTCACTTTAATCACTTAATCTGGCTGCCTTCCGACCAATATTGCTCCAAAGTAACCCTTATTGTCCCAAGGACTGAACACAATCTTAGGTGATGTGCCAGGGCTGCACAACTAGACCGAACTGAGGGAAAAATAAAAATGCATTTAATCTAAATGGCAATCAATTTAAATAAAAGGCGATCAATAAAATATTCCATACTTTCTTGCCTTATATATTAGAAATTATAAATTGATAATCCCGTTAAAAGCTTTGGCCTTTGTAACCTACTCTTTGTTTATCGCCTCTGCTTTGACACTGCAAAAGTCAAAAATATTTTGCCTGATCTGCTGGAACTTTTAGAAAAGCAAATGCACAGAGTGCTTGTATGATTTGTGCGATGCTCTGTAATATGCATTAAACGTCTATGGATTAAGGCACTAAGCCAAATGCTGGCATTAGCAAACAACTAGAATAGAACATCTGTGATCCCTTTCTATAATCAGGCAGCCAAGAAAAGAGGTGGGAAGCAGTAGGCTAGAATCCCGACCAGGAAACTGTAGGAGTTGAACTCCACACATCTTAAGGAAGACAAGCTCAGATACCTTGGGCTAGAACATGGGAATTGAAATCCACAACATTAAGACTCGTGGACTTCAATTCCAAGAATTCCTCAGCCAGCTTAGAAGTTGAAGTCTACAAGTCTTAAAATAAAAAAGGTTGGACACCCCTGGGCTAGAAGATCCCAGATGTTTCTTTCCATTACAGCAATTTCCCTGTGACAGTCCATGCAGAGTAGTCTCCTGCAGCAAAAGCAAAGGCTCTCTGTGGCATTTTAAAGACAAACAGAAGAGGTGGTATAAACTCCTGGAGACTACAAGCTACTTCTTTTTCTTATTCTCTCAGTCTTTCCTGACCCGTTGCCACTTTCAAAGTTAGCACAGCGGTTGAAAGTTATAAAGCTAACGCTTTTGCTGCCAAAGTGTGAGCCATCCTGGGTTATACCCATAAGATAGTAACATTGCTTTGAACTAACAATTATTGTCTTAGAAATGAATGTATCAAAATCAGATATTCTGTGGATGCTGGGTCTATTATCTCTTCAACAGGGAGAATAGACTAAGGATAATTTACAGATTGTTCATAACTCTACAACTTCCCATTGCTCCAGTGAGGAGGTGATAAGACACCTAACAGGCTCAATGGCCAGGAAGATGCCAGCATTTTCAAATTAATACATACTAGGTGGTCCTTGACTTATGACCATTTGTTAGTGATGGTTCGAAGATACAATGGCACTAGAAAAGTGACTGACGACCACTGCAACATCCCTGCAGTCACGTGATCAAAGTTTGGATGCTTGGCAACTGGCATGCATTTGTGATGGTTGCAGTGTCATCACCATTTGCGACCTTCTGACAAAGTCAACGAGGAAGCCAGGTTCCCTTAACAGCATGTTACTAACTTAACAACTGTGGCAAGAAAGTCATAAAATGGGGCAAAAGTCACCCAACAACTGTCTTGCTTCGCAACAGAAATTTTGGACTCGATTGTGGTCGTAAGCCGTGGACTAGCTATATCACTACTTGTAGCTATAAAGATGGCCTCATTTCAAAGCTCATCCATCTGGAAGAATTCTTCAGATTGAATACCAAAATGGGTTTGAGTGTTTGGACTAACTTGCCTTACTGGGGGGGGGGGAGGGAGAGGGAGGGAGAGCACAAATATAAGAATTGCCTTTTGAATATATTCATTGCCATGCAAGTTTAAGCTTAATGGCGTTCGCATTTTTGAAAGGCAAATGCAATTATACTTGGGGTCAGACAAGTCTTCATTGATGCCAGTTCTCTGGCTTGAAGTCAGCTTCCATGCTTTTTAACTTAACAGTGTGCTATTCAAAAGTCACCCCACCCTTGTAAAAGGACTCCCACACAGCATAACAGAGGTGAATTACAATAAGATCTCTGCTTCATTCAACTCCCATTTTACAGTAGCTCCGAAATCCAAGCTACACTGTGGCTCTAGGGAAGAATCCAGCCCTTTCCACTTGAGCAGGAAATCAGCCAAGGAATTATTTTAAATCCAATTTGATACTGTGTACAGGCCAAAGAATTTTCAGCATGCGTAATCTGGAGGAGTACAAGCCACAACACTAACCGTTTTATGCTTCTAGAAGGCAAAAGAAACAGACGCTGCTTTTTAGCAGCTTCCTGGTTTACTGTAAGAGGGAATCGATGGTGACATTAAACTTTCCAGAAACATGTTCCATAAGAAGAAGCTGTTTTACTCATGATGGTACTGTGCAATTGAAAGCATGCAACATCACTAGGTTTGTACTTGGCACCAAATAGGACATTAACTATGGATTTTCAGCCAATGATACACGTTTTTATATTTCACCACAAATGTGACTCAGAGTTTCAGATAATTAAAGTAAAACCATTTCTATTGTTGAACATTTACTTTGTGTTCTCTGCCCATGCACAGTGGGCAACAAATGCTTCCATGTTATTCCAATACAAGGAAGGCTGCCATCACATTCATTTTGTGGGCTGCCCTACCGATAATAGTATGGTTTTTACTTTTTTTTTTAAAAAAAAATCAAATGTTCTTAAAAACAAGAAAGTTGCCCATCATCCCAATAATAATTTAGCTCAACCCCATATCTACTTAGCCAACAAGACATTTGTGAATGGAACTAAATAAAAATGCCATTTCTAGTTGCCCATCAGCCGAATAATAACAATTTAGCTCCACCCCATATCTACTTAGCCATCACGACATTTGTGAATGGAGCTAAATAAAAGTGCCGTTTCTAGCCCAGATTAAGGCAGAGATTATTACTGAGGCTCTTACTTTGCTGCCAGATGATAAAAAAAAAATCCTTTCCATTCTAAATGGTAGTTTTTCAAAGCCCCTCCCACCTCTTGCTTCCGCCATGTTCTCCATTAGAACACCTGTAATCAGATCGTCAGCAGAAGGCAGCCAATCCATGAGGAATCAAGCTACCCATTATGAGCAAAAGTGCAATAAAACTCTTGATTCTGGATGTGATTACTTATGCAAAAAAGCCATTGAAAATGAAACAGAATCTTCTTTCTGCCTCATGTTGCTCAAGTCCAAACAGTGTCTTGTATTCATGTAAGAAGGTGTCTGTCTAACCTTAACACATGGTTATAGAAGATTTTGAGAGGTTGGGGAGAAGCATTTAGGAATACAGACTAGAACCCAAAAATTGTCAACAGAAAAAGCTTCTCCACTAGACAAATACAATCATCGCTTTTCCACTTGAAGGTGTTTTTAATTAGATTCTTCCCCCGTTTTTAATAAAAAAAAACCTCAGCATAGATAGATACATACCTGTATGAGCATAATTGAAGATGTGGAGTTACCTCCCTATGGAGTATCAGAGGCAGTACTGGAACTGGAAATTGCAATTCCACTTTATCAGTTTTGTTCAAGAATCAAATTTGCTTGCTCTCAATCCTGTTTTATATCTGAAACTAAAGCAAAACCTTTATACTGCTAGTTTTGCTGAACTTGTGGGCAATTTGTTTTTCCATTCACGGAAACCACCCCTCATTTGCCTCTAAGCAAATTATCAGAGTTTTCTTTATTATCACTGTATATGACCAGCCAACGCACATAGGATAAATTAAGGATATGGAGTGGGGTGGTAGCATTTTGTTTCCCTTTTGTGTGAAGTGGAGTGAAGGATTTTTTGTTCCTCCAAGACCAGCACTACACTGGGTCTTCTTGAGTTATGATTATGCACTGTACATGGGGCTTTTGACAGCCACAGAAATGGAGATTAGTATGGAGTTATTTCAAGCCATTTTTAAGTGACACGCAATGGTAGTGTGAAAGTCCATATGGTCTGCCCTGCATTCAAATGATGATCTTTGTAGTAAATTCTGAATTAATGAATATAATGAATTCCTTTAATAATATTATACCATTTAAAAAACAAGTGGGAAAGTTTCTCTGTTTCCTCTCTTGTCTTAGAATAGAACAATGCAAGGATTATAAAATTAGGATTAAAACCTCATATTGGACAAACCATTTCCCAGATTGTTTCCATTCCCATCAACCTAAACATAGCAGGAATATTTTAGTTCAGCTTTTAAATCAGACAGACCCCAATATTGCCATCTCCTTCCCACCTTAAGTGAGTGTTTGTAAGAAAAAAGTGTAATTATGCTAATTACTATTTATAGGTCAGGAACATCTGTTAAAATTCATCTGTAATTATATCAGGATTAAAATAATCAAGGTCACAAAACAACACTTCAGCAACTGATCTAGATAGCTAATTCTTTGTAATCTTTTAAATACCACTTAGCATTCTTCATTCTAAAGGCTGTTGTATGTCATTTTTCTCCAATCATTTCTACTAACTGTGATTCCAAAAGCATTTCAGTAAATTTATCAGATTCAAACAAAATGTAGGGGATGAAATAAAACATATTTTCATATTTACTTCAGAGAAATACATGGGACATGAGTTGGCTCAAGTGAGGAAGGGAAAGGTTTTACATATCTTTATGTAACTCACAATTAATATTAAAATAGAGTACAATGTGCTTGGGAAATACACTTCTTTTCATGAAATTTTGCCATTCAAATAACTGAATCATTTAAATAAAAATAATCCTGAAAACAGAGAAAAGCTGTTGAAGGGCATATATGTATCAACTCCTTAGGAAACAGTGTGCATATAGTTTATGAAGTTGTTAGTTACCTACCCAAAATTAAAATAGCTTTTTTCACCTTCATGTTCCAGTTTTCTATCAACAGTTAACATATACATAACAACATTTCCATTTGTTGCATTTATTTGAGTAAATATCTGGTAAATAAAGTCATTAATAAAACATTACAAAATTAAATACATTTAAAAAAGCTTGCCAGTATACATAAAGTCCACAAACATGTATTTCTTCTTTTTTTAAAAAATAAAATTATGTTCAGAGCACCCTTGATATAAAATGCCAGACTAGCATCTACCAGCAGATGGTAGCTTGTGAAATATTACAGCAGTGTTTCTCAACCTTGGCAACTTTAAAATAGGTGGATTTCAACTCCCAGAATTCCTCACCCAGCATGCTATTAAGTTGCTAAAGTTGAGAAACACTGCATTAGAACACAGAATGTTTTCCTGAAGAGTTTGGGGAACAGGCTTTCTCTTCTACAACCTAGATCACTTAGCCAGTCAGCCAGCCAACCTACCAAGTTGGATGTCAAAATAGGAAGCAATAGTCAGATATTCTTATCATAAGAAGGGGGTGGGTGGACTTGCATTTCCCTTCTCTGCAGGGCTTTCTCATAACGGTATTGGCCTTTTTTCTTGCTGTCCTATCAGATCTTTTAGCAGTAGGTTGATCAATCCTAACAGATCATAAAACGAAGGGAGATCATCTGGCTGAGCCTCAAAGTTGGTAATAGTAGTTCAAACCCTAAAAAAATCAAGCCCTTGGACCCCGGTTTGCTTATGTGTTGCTTTGTGAACAGAGGCATTTGTTGCAATGCTTTAACAGTGGCAGCACCCCCACGTAACAGACTGCACCCCTCCCCTCCCCTCCTGCCCGCAACACCACATTGGTTATAACTTCGGTTTATATTGTTACTTAGAGCACATTTCGTTTCCATCGATGTGAATCAATAGTAACACTCACTTGATAATGTATGTACACAAGCACAAGAACCTTAACATCCATGAGTCTGGTGTACAACTTAATGGTCAAACTGGCTGTAAAGGAACAGCATTTCCCTAGTAGTTCTCCAGCAGGCAGAATTAACTGCCTAGGAAAGTCCCTCTAAAATCGATGTTTTTTCCATCTATCTTGATCATCTGCAGGTAGTAAAAGCAGCATCCACAATGTTGCTATCTGTGATAAAATAAAATCACACTTTAAAAAAACTGCCTTAAACATAAGGGGTTGAATTCTTTAAAATGTCAGAATTCAGCCAAAAAAGAGAAAATTGCTCATAACAACCAAACTAGTAGGTGTCCTATTTAATAGTTCCAGTTTATTGATCACTTCTCTCAAGAGGCTCCGTCTTCACTTATATACTCTTCTTTTGAGGAGGGCTCAGTTTCCTCATCCCTCTTATCCGAGTTAGAAGTTCTTTGATAAAATCCTAAAAAAAAAGGGGAGGGGGGAAATCGCTAATTAAAAATAATAGTAAATGTATTCAAAATGCAACTCATCTCCACCCTCCATTGTTTTTACATATCAAATACAGGTAGTCCTTGACTTATTATCACAATTGAGCCCCAATTTTTTGCTGCTAAGTGACACATTTTTAAGTGAATTTTGACCCATTTTACAACTTTTCTTTGCCCCAGTTGTTAAGTGAATCACTTCAGTTGTTAAGTTACTAACACGGTTGTTAAGTGAATCTGGCTTCCTCATTGACTCTGCTTGTCAGAAGGTTGCAAAAGCTGATCACATGACCCCGGGACACTGCAACCGTCATAAATATGAGTCAGTTGTCGAGTGTCTGGATTTTGATCATGTGACCATGGGGGAGGCTGCCATGGTCACATGAAAAGTATGAAAAACAGTCATAAGTCACTTGTTTTTTCAATGCTGGTGTAACTTTGAACCATCACTAAATGAACTCTTGTAAATCGAGGACTAGCTATATCAGCCATTCAATTCTCTTCAAAGATCCTACATGAAAGTGAATCAGAATCAAGGTACATCCAATCAAATCACCACTTTTGAATTCTAAAGAACTGATGTCATTGCCAAGATTCTATAGCCTATATAGAGTGTGAGGCTCTAAAGAAGTTCAACTCTTTCCACCCTTCCAATGCACTTGCTTCATTCAGTTGCAGAGGATGATTGCTACCATCATACAAAGGGCAGGATTTCTCCTGTATTCTTCTTTCAGACCACTCACCTTATCAGTTTAATCCCCATTCAGCATATCCTCCCCGTTCTCTCGCTAAAAGGTAGATATACTCAAATGAATGAAAATTCTTAATTCTTTTCACCAAACAAAAGAACAGACTCCAGTTCATGAAACACAATTCATCAGATCCAAAATCTATTAAAATGGTTCTTCATCTAGTTTCCAAAGATAACGGTACCGTATATGTTTTTTAGTATGGATAAACTAACTTAAGTTAATATATGAGCAAAACCTCACCAAACATATTACATTTCAGAAGGTTTTTACATTATTTAAGATTTTACAAGCAAACACCAAATTTGCTTTGTTGGTCATTTTCAATCATTGTTTTGCAGGATAGCAGTAAAGAAAATGCAACATTCTGACAATCAGTCAATTATCATCATTCAGGTACAAAATAATAGTCAACTGTAAGTTGATTGTGGGAGTGGTCCTTCATTGACGTGCTACATGATTATTCTGAATTATCTAACAAATTACTCATTCCATATCTTTCGAAGTTTAGTGGTCTTTTTTCCAGACATTTTTTTAGGGTGGTTATTTCCATTTTTACTGCTTTTTGGAAATTGCTTTCCATTTTTTATTTTTGTCTACAAAGGCTATGATTTTGTATTTTCACAGTGTGGAGTGCAGCCACTCCTTCTGCAAAGTTCAGTAATTCCACTTTGCGGGATGGGGAGGTACATCAATTTTTTAAATTCATTCCTATGTTCTATTAAATTAGACTTCTACATTCACACTACTTGGGCTATGTATATTTCCTTGTGGATTTAATCAGGGAAGAGGAAGAGGAAGGACGAGGAAGAGGAGGAGGAGAAGGAACAGAAGGAGAAGGAGGAAAAGAAGTTATTTCACTTCTCATCCAAGAAGCTTTATCAGTTCAACTGATGAACAACAAAAAAACAGTCCAGTTGCCTTTTGGAAAAAAAAGAAAAAGCACCAGGGACAACTATGACCTGCTGAGAATTTCCATGGACATTAAGGCTGCATTGTTTCTACCGCATACTGTTTATAGATAGATATCTTGAGATAAAATCAATTATTTCCTCCTGGTAGCTTCTGAAGAATCAACAAGGTCACCTAATCTATATTCTTTATGTCTAACTATGCTAACTAACGCCCAAGCCTATTTTAAAGAGAAAAGGAAAAATCTGAGCAAGTTGGCAATTTTTGAAGAAATAAGAACTGTTGACATCTGAACTAGCTTCCTGTTTCCCGCCAACTAGGCACTGTGGTAATGTATTTTAAAAACATGTGCACTGACTCCTGTAAGAACTGATTTCCCCAATCCTAGGTTTCATCTGAATAAATCAGAAGGCACTAACAAAAATTTTCTGCTCAAATATTAATGGCACTTTCTTTAAAATGCCATGACTGAAATTTCACACTAAGCATAACTCTATTTTAGGTTGCTATCTGGAAATGGAACTAAGTATTTATTAATAGGGTACTCATTAGTTATAATAGCCAAACATTTCCTGGATGCTTCTGATGCCAGGGGCTTTTCTTTCCAGGCAATAAAGCTATTTTAAGTGCCAATGGATTGAGACTTCCAAGTGCCCAGTAAAAGGTAGAGTTGTATGTACCTTTTAGAGTAAAACACCAATTGATGAAGCATTGCTTTTTTCGATTTGCTACTAGGCTTTTATTTTGCCATTTCCTCATTTGCAAAAGGCCTGAATGCTGTGTATAACTGGCTTGCAAAGAATATCTTCTTCAAGGCTAATGTCATGAGACAGAAACTATTTTTAATTGTTGGCACCAACCAAGCTTACTCTTAAGATAAGGCATCCCTTCATAAAAAAATAATAATAATGCAGCATTCACTTCTTGTAGAGCACAAATCCAATGCATGTGAACAACAGAGATAAAGAGAGAACTTCCTGCATGTTAAAATGCTGGTGTATTAATGAAAGCCATGGAGAAACAACCCAACAGCAAGGTGTTTGTTTAGTGGGCTGTAAAGCTGGTGTGTCAAGGGCCATGAAAGACATCCAAATGTTTTGCACTAATGCTACAAGCAGCTGTACAGCACATTTCAATTACTAATCTTAGAGATTGCTGTATATAGTGTATCAGAGCTTTGATCCACTCTTATTGCCTACCTTAGCTTTTCTAAGTCACCAGTGTTGAATTCACATCAAAGGAGACTTTACTTTAACTTTCCCTAAATGGTGCCCTCAGATGTATTAGTTTTGAATTCAAAAGTAATGAAAAATGGCATCCATCATGTAGAAGACACCAGGGGAGAAAGATTGCATGCAGCAGAGAGCCATGGTGGCATAGTGGTTAGAATGCAGTATTGCAGGCTAATTCTGCATTCCACTGCCAGCAGTTCGATCCTGATTGGTTCAAGGTTGACCCAGCCTTCCATCTGTCCAAGATCAGTAAAACGAGGAGCCAGATTGCTCGGAGCAATATGCTGACTCTGTAAGCCACTTGGAGAGTGTTATAAAGCATCCTGCCCGAGCAGGGGGTTGGACTAGATGACCTCCAAGGTCCCTTCCAACTTTACTATTATTATTATTATTATTATTATTATTATTATTATTATTATTATTATTATTATTATTATTATGGAGCGGTATAAAGTCCAGTCTATTGCTATTAATATTGTAATATTTCACCAAAGATTTAAACATAAGCTTGTAGTCCAAATTAAACCCAAATGCAAAATATATTAAATCTCTTCAGAATATCAGCATAATATCACTGTTACATAAGCTGCCCCAAACCTGAATTATTAACTATTATTATGGAAGGAGTTTTGTCTCAAGATTAACAGGCAAAGATATTCAAAATATGCTACCATCACCACAACTAAGACTAAAATCCTCAGCAGCTTTAGCTCTTAAGAACTTTGGGGGTGGGGTTGACAAACATCCCATATTCTGCCACATGGGTTTACAGGACATAAGCAGTTGTTTATATAAATGCAACTTTGCTGTAAGTTTTTTCTCCTCTGAATTCAGAAACCACAACTCACAATTCATAGTAGGCAAACATCAGGCTATTTGCCAAGAGCACAAATATGGCTGTATATATCTTTTTAAAAATAAGATATGTATCTATTTATATAATCAATGCATTTGGCCATCCATCTCTCAAATGCAGCTAACAACACATAAAAAGAATTAATTTTTTTAACACAGAGTAAATTACAGCATAGATGCTGAAAACACAACTGAATTACCTCTAAAAAAAAATCTGTCTTTTCCAGATGGTGATATAGAAATAAAACCCTTGGGTGCATTATATTCCTGTAGTTGGAAGAAGCTTTCTAAACTTCGTTTCTGACAGAACAATATAACAATCTATTGAATCAGGAATTTCATTTCTTCCACCAAATCTTTCCAGGATCTAGGAGAAGACATGGATTCATACCATGATTGTGGTATATTGATAGGATTACTACTATTTAATCTAAGGGCATGCTATTCTTTATTTCAAGAACTGAAAGGTAAAGTAGTCCAATGACTTTTTCTAAGAGGCTCAAACTAAATAGGGAGGGAGAGAAGGAGTAAGAGAGATGTAGTGTATGTATGTATTTCTAACTCTATATTGGTAGAAATCAACTGTTTAAAAATCATCCCTATTGTCCACATATAGCTGCTATAGTCACCCACACTTCAGTTATCACTCACAAGATAAAAATCTGAAACAACTACTGTGTAAAAGCATTTTTACAGAGAATAAGGAAGAAATTGTATGTAAATTTGGTGCTTATTTTTAACATTTTTAATTCAGCACCACAAAATCTGTAGTTTCACAAAATTAAAAAATAGTTTTCAAGGTCAAATGATCTAATAAACTCTAGAAGTAGCCAGCATAGGTGAATTAATTGAATTCTTTGTGGCAGCCATTAGTAGTTCTTTTTCTAATGGCAGGAAATATTGTAATAAATCTCTAAAAGTTGTATGAACTTGTATTTAAATACGTTTTTTTTCTTCAAGATGCTGTAATACTTTTTTTTGATCCGAGGAATTAAAATAAATAAAGTTTATAGGCACTACCAAACAATGCTATGTTTGGCATTAACTCTATAAGTCTGTGTAGAGATTAGCATTTTTAAATTTCAATTACATATAATACCCAAATGCAGAATGTAACTGAAAGTAACTCTTTATTTGATTATCTGTGTTGATCAGGATAGTTGGCAAATATAACTGTTGTCTATACAGAAGACTATGTCAAGTTTTTACATGTAAAATAATATAAAATTTGTTTACCTCTGTAGGTTTGTAGCAATCTACAAGCGCTTCCTAGAAGTACAATAATAAAAGCATCAGTTATCTTTCATTCTACTTTCACATATATAAGAACTGGGTACTTCTGGATAGCTGTCACATCTTTTCTAAAGGAGCATATGCAAAACAGGCTTCTCTCGTGGGTGTGAAAATCACCATCAATGAAAAGCTTAATACTTTGACCCATACTTTAGTAACATTTTCCCTTGTCACTCAAAGCCATAGCAAAAGTGTGATAAGTGAAGCATTTCCCATGTTAAAGTATACTATTTTCCTTGCCAATAGAAACTGCCAGACAGACAGTGACACATTCTCAGAAACCCATACCCATCAATCATGGGAATGCTAATCCTCAGCCACAATTCATACGGTAGATGTTACAGGCTTAATTTTACCCTTCTTTATTATGCTTTGTTAATCTGCCCTCCAAACCTTAACAGGATATTCTAGAAGACAGACAATCCGAATTAACGCGAGATATTCTCCCAAATCGCTTAAAATCAAACTAACTTGTAATTTGAGGGCTCTCTCCTCTTCATTAGCAGCATCAAGAAGATCATCAATATCAATTTCTACATCTGGCATCTCTTCTTCCTAGAAAAAGAGAAAGCTGGGTGAGAAATTAAACTGTATTTAAGTTATATTTTTCACTTCCTTTTTAGTCCGGCTCCAAAACTTGAATGGCAGTTCATTCATTCTCCCTAATAATGTAGTTCGCACACACCCTTTTAAGCCTCTCTCCTGACATTTGGCCCTGGGCCAGGTTAGACTGATGGCCAGCTGGCCACTCTTCTGCATAAAAAATTGAAGCAGGTGCCTAGCCCAGTGTTTTTTTAACAGCAACATGAGCTCTCTGGGCAGATACCTGGGACATGCTATTTATCCTCTATTACTCCCATGTCAATTAGGCCAAGAGCTGGAAAATTGCACTTGAGCTTTGTAAAGTAGATGTCACACACATTGTTGGAATCTCTCTTTTGTTTATCCTGAGGAAACCAAGAATGGTTTGTCAGCCTTCCAGGTAAACCAGAAAGGAAACAAGGCTAGATAAGCTAATTAGACTTTAATGCAAGATTACATTGGCAGAATCTTGCAAGTCTGAAGGTATAAACTTCCCCTGTCACTTATAACTGTCTGATCAATTAGGTCAGGGATCTTCAAACTTGGCCCTTTTATGACTTGTGGAGTTCAACTCCCAGAATTCCTCAGCCAGGCACACTTGCTGAGGAATTTTGGGAGCTGAAGTCCACAAGTCATAAAAGGGCCAAGTTTGAAGACCCCTGAATTAGGGGCAGTTCTGCCTAAGTGTTTTTTCTCTCTCTAACCCTTTCTTGTCCGATTGTTTCCTAGGCAGCAGACAAAAAGGCAGAATGACGACCTACTTAGGAGAACAAACTCTCTCTCTCTCTCTCTCTCTCTCTCTCTCCCCCCCCCCCCAAGACAACGGTGTCAGCTTTAGGAAAAAAGAAATTACCTTCTATAATTGTATTCAGTTTAATCAAGGGGGAATGAGATCTTGTGTGAAATTAAGCTGATCTTAAAATAAAATCATACAGAATGTCTAGTCTCAGCGCATTGCTGAAACAGATTCTATGATTCCATTATAGAAGTAGATGAAGTTGAGTGAGAAAAGCAATAACATTTAACTCTTTGGTGCACACACTGTCAAAACAAGGCCAAGCAAGCCAAACAAAACCTAGTTCCATTAAAGCAATAAAAAATAAATAAATTTCAGGTTACCAATAATTGTGGGAACCAATTCTTAGATGAACGTGATTTGTCCATGAATCTTCTAAGTTATTTGTTTTAACAAAGCTCTTTTTAACATTATTCTGCTTTTAAGAACTAAGTATAGATACGTACTTTCATTAAATTGTTGGTTCTAGACCCCCCTAGATTTCCAAGTATCTCAGAAATTTGTCAGAAATATTTGCACTATTCTTTTTCTGAAGCTGATGTGCCCAGGGCCCAACTTCAAACGCAAGCCAATTCAATTTATAGCACATGAACAACTTTGAGAAAACATGTGGTAAAGTTCATCAGGATAGCTTAGAATAGAGGTATCAAACTGCCCGCCTGCGGGCTGGATGCGTCACACCAAAACCACGCCCACCCCATTGCTGGCAATGGGAAAAAATCGCAACATTTATTTATTTATTTATTTATGAGACTTATATACCGCTTTAAGTACAAGCACTCTCTAAGCGGTGTACACCAGTAAGCAATGTATATATATATTTACATTGCCCCCAACAATCTGGGTCCTCATTTTACCTACCCCGGAAGGATGGAAGGCTGAGTCAACTGTGAGCCGATGAGATTTGAACCGCTGACCTGCTGAACACAGTCAGCTAAAGTGGCCTGCAGTACTGCACTCTAACTGCTGCGCCACCTTGGCTCTTTTTACAACACATCATGTGACGTCGCGAGTTTGACACACGTGGCTTAGAAGTAGATCAAAAATAAGTAAATAAAGAGGATGCTTAAATTTTTACAGCATGCAAGGTTATATAACAGCAACACCAATTTAATAGCAAGAAGATCACTAGACCACACCAAGACCAAACTATCCAAGTCACCGTATAATAATAATAATAATAATAATAATAATAATAATAATAATAATAATAGTAAAAAAAACATCCACATCTGCCTATCCCAGGTCCTGGGTAAGGATTCGATAGGTAGACAAAATGCCAAATCCAGTCTGAACATCTGGCTGACTGTGCGATGATCCATAATAATAATAATAATAATGGTGTTGGAAGGGACCTTGGAGGTCATCTAGTCCAACCCCCTGCTCAGACAGGAAACCCTATACCATTTCAGACAAATGGCTGTCCAGTCTCTTCTTAAAAACTTCCAGTGTTGGAGCATTCACAGCTCATCAGGTATCATGATAACTGATGTCTCTTGCCTCCTGATCAAGTGTCACTTTCCTGCTGAATTGCAAAAGCTGCTGAAGAAAAAACATAACTGACCTAACCTGTACTCTGACGAGCTGGATGAATACACATACATGTAAGCATTTCTATCAGGAAGTGCAAACTGTGAACCCATCTTTATATCATGAAATAAATTACCAGATCTCTCATTAAAAGAGATGAATGTATAACTAGCCAGAAAGCAGCCGTCTTCTGCAACACAGAAAGCTCCAGTCCATTCTAGGATCCTGACACTATCCAGGTGAATATTCTAAATGTGCTGTGCACTTCTACATTATGATCTAACTGTTTCAGTTGTCCATCTGAGGTGAACGTAGAGGTTCCTTAGATCACTCTTTAATGTTGCGTATATTGTAATTTTTAAAAACCTATAACTTACAAACGTAAGTTTTAGTACCTATAATTATCTTCCAGTAGAAGCTAGTTAAACATTCTAGCTGTAAATTAACAGAAGACAGACATTTTTAAAGTTCTTGCTGCTGAGGAAATCATACTTAGCAGCCATTAGCCATTCCCCAAATCATTAGAAAAGTAATGCTGCTAAGAATCCTGATATTATTAATTGTAACCATTTCTTTGTACTTCTGCAAAGAATCCATGAGGGCAGCTTTATAACTCCTAGGCCCTAAGGCAGTGGTTCTCAACCTGTGGGTCGGGACCCCATTTGGGGTCGAACGACCATTTCACGGGGGTCGCCAAACAAGGCTGTCCGCCATTTTTTCCTCCTTTTCTTTGGCCACGCCCCTGGCACCTGGTGATGTATAAGTGGTTGGGGGTCACCACAACATGGGGAACTGTATTATGGGGTCGCGGCATTAGAAAGGTTGAGAACCACTGCCCTAAGGTCTTTTGCTTTTGTGAGCCCCTCCCTCCTTAAAAATAATTATATTAAATTATTATTTAATTATAAAATTGAAATTATATTTCAAATTATATTTTCATCATATTTTGCAGAAAAATAGAGAATTGTATAATATGGGTGTTATTTTGGTTGTTGCTGATTAATTATGTCTCTCACATATCAACAAAGTTACTACATTTTAATAATAACACTATAACTATAGGTTATAAATAAGGTTTGATATTCAAATGTTGTGTGATTCTTGTCTGTGTTTCATTAAAAGTCATGAAAATGAATAACTTCTACTCATTTTTATTTCTGATTTTTAAAAAAATTAAGACAATTTCGCCAGCACAAGGCATTGTGCTTGCTTACAGTCTTGATAACTACAACCAATTCACAATTGGAAATACGCACTTCCAGCTATAAAGCCTCTGCAGTGCTTTGGTACTAAAGGCAGAAAAGTGCTTTAGATAGAGTATGTGTGATGCAAATGTAACACTTGTCTGCAACTCCTAAAAGTAGCCATGCCTTTTCCCAGGACTGGGCAGCTGTGCTCTGTAGTTCTTGATTTAAAAAAACTCAAGACAGGTGCTAGATTCATCACATATACTTCCAAACACCTTTTTGCAATTGACTCCAATGCACCATACTGCCCTATCAATTAAATATTATTTATTTAAATGTATTTTAGGTGTATCCTGTAGTGTAGTAAATGACTGCAATATGTCTTTATGGTCTGCCTTTAAAGATGACTCAAAGTTACAACTGGCATCCCACCAGCTAACTGAGGGAGCTGATTCAACAGCCTTATACCTATGCTATAAACTAGGGATCTTCAAACTTGGCCATTTTATGACTTGTGGACTTCAACTCCCAGAATTCCTCAGCCAGGCAAGTCCACAAGTCATAAAAGGGCCAAGTTTGAAGAGCCTTGCTGTAAATCCTACTGTGGTTTTGAGTTCAATTCAAAATGATGGCTGTCACTTTCAAAGCCTTGCAAAATTTGGTACCCAGATACATCCAGCACTGTTTTTCCCATTCTTATCTGATGTGCCCAATTCAGTCTCTGGGGAAGGTATGTTCTGGTTGCCCCCAGCCTTCAGAAACATTTTGGAAACGTTATTGTTCTGCAGAGTATATTGGCCTGATAGTACAAGTATGCCTTATGTTAAATTAGTTTATTGCTTTTATTGATGTGTTACTATTTCCTGACAGTAAAATGGTTTAAGAGGAGGGTGTGACTAATCAAAATACATTTTTATAAATAACATTATTAGTCTTTAATTTCTTCCTCATCCTGTCCTACATTTTGGGTTTCAATTTCTGTTTTCCATAAAGCAACCAGAGATGTTTGCCTGTGACCACTCAAAAAACCCACTGACAATTTACAATCATTTCATAGAATAGCGGCTTCAGCTTTATTGGTGCTCATAAGTTTCCATAATGATACCCTTCCAAAGTTGTATGCATCTATTTTTAGAGAGTAATGGTATTCAGACACAATATAGACATTTGTTTAGCAAAGCAAGGCTTCTACTGTTTACATAGCACTTAGATTACTCATCTGACTGAAAGCAAATACCTTCCTTCAATTAGCTTTCCTCAAACTTATCTAGACCAAGAAATCACATTAGTTTCATTTGCAGAATATTAACCATGACTTACATGTTGAGCATACAGCATTCAGGAGAAGCCCTGCTTTTGATTAAACGAATTTACCTCATAGGACAGTGGTGGTGAACCTATGGCACGGGTGCCAGAGGCGGCACTCTCTGTGGGCACACATGCCATTGCCCCAGCCTCCC